ACCGCCCCATTCTACAGACTGGCGCCCAGAGAGTGGAGGGAGGGGCAGACTCACACAGCGTCACACAGCTCACTCCTGCCCTGCCTGCGGCCTGAGTTCAAGATCACCGACACTCCCACTCACTCTGTTTCCTTACATTTCACTTGTGATTTTTTTAAAAGGTCAGTTTATTTCCTATGATCTGCAAGAAGGAAACTGGCATGTGAGAGGGTGAGTGTGGGTGGCTGTTTCCAGTGAAACAAGAGAAAGTTTTTCTGTCAAAACTGCAGAGGAGAGATGCGCTGGGCTTCATTAGGGTCAGCCCGAGGCCCCAGGCCTGGCTCAGTCACTGTGGCTTCCTCACTCCTCCACGCTTGACCAATATCTCTGGTCCCCCCCAACCCTGACAAATCCTTCGGCCCCGCCTGGGGCTCGATGGCAGGCGTCTGAGGTTCTCCAGCCCCTGACAAAGGTCAGTCCGCAGGCCATCACTGCCAGGGCCCTGCTGACTCCCATGGCTGATAGCCAGCGATCTGAGGCCCCAGGGGCACTGCTGTGCATCACAGGGTGTCCAGCCAGTGGCAAGGACCCGCCCATGCCGGCCAGTCTCCACTCTCTCCACTCCCCAGTCCAACCCAGCCCCGCCCTGCTGCACGGCTCTCAGCCTAGGGCGCTGGGGGCGTTTGGGGCCACCTAGTCCTTTGTTGGTGGCAGACTGTGCACCGCAGGGTGCGTAGCCACAGCCCCAGCCTCCACCGACGGGATGCCAGCAGCATCACCAGAAGATGGCCCAGTCATGACAGCCAAAATCACCCCAGACACGGCCAGATCACGGGCGAAATCAGCCCTGCGTTGAGAAGCTCTGAGCTAGAGCCAACAGCATCTTCTTTCTTTGCCTTGCTTCCAAAATATTCTTGTGAAGTTCTGCAGGATAAAAAACAATGTCTACATTTTTATGTTGGGATGTGGACATGAATGGGAGGTCACAAGCCCGGCCGTGACCCCGTGGAGGTCGAGGGTGTTTCACACGTGGCTATCATGCATGGACAACACCTTGCTGGCACTGGCTGTCCCAACCCTAATCCAATCCAGCCCTCTCCTATCATGGAGGAAGAAAGTGCTGCCCAGAGAGGTTAAGCAACCAGCCTGAAGTCACACAGCAGGCATAGTCATCCAACCCCCTATCCAGTGCTGTTTCACCACCCTACACCAAGCCTGGATCCAGCCAGCACCCAGCAGGAAGCTAAAATTTTGGGGGAAGCAAAGCATCCCCTTCCAACGGGAACTCAAGACATGGGCAGAACCTCATTTTCATGTTACAATGCTGTGAAAATGTGCACAGCAAAATGTGGTAAAAACATGGGTTGGGGCCAGAGCTGTGGAATGAGAGCACACTGTTTGCCATGGGAGCCGGCCAATAAAAGGAAGAGTCCGAAGTTGTTTGTTGCGATTTTAAGGGTCATTTTTTCCCCCTTATAAAAAAGAGTAATTTTCATTTACAGGGACCCCGGGCAATTTTCCATCGAATTTGATGTTTTATAATGTCTGCAGAGCCACAAACCTCGGCAGGCTGTGCGGGCCGCAGACGTTTTATTTTCAGATGTTCGAGGTTATTGGTTCATCAGGAGCAAAGGGAAAACGCGGCTGAGTTTACACGAGTCGGTAAGAAAGGTGGTGGGGGATGGTCTGGCGGCTGGAAATGAATTTGCAGTGAAGCCCCCAGCCCTCAGCCAAGTGCCACCCCCACTCCAGTAGCGCCCAGAACACCAGGCTGGTGAGGCTGGCGCAGGGTCATTGCCCCAGGTGAGGAAGCTGGGACCCCCCCCACACACACACCTCCAGTCCAGAGCGCCCGACTGCACTGTGCCTCCCCGCTGACCTGCTGTGCACCCATGGAGGATGGGACTGCTATTATCTCTGGTTTTCAGACGAGGAAACTGGGCTTAGACAAGTTAGTTACTGGCCTGGGGCCACCCGAACAGGAAGTAAGAGGTCTAGATCTAACTACTCTGTCTACACTGGGGCATAATCCTTTCACCATCACCATCATACTAGGTCCTTCCTGCTCACCCAGGCCCCTCTTTCGGCTTCACAAGCTGGGTGCAGGGTAGGGGGTGTGGGATACAGACAGTGAAAGGGATACAGACTTTTTTTTTTTTTTAAGAGACGGAGTTTCACTCTCGTCACCCAGGATGGAGTGCAATGGCACAACCTTGGCTCATAACAACCTCTTTCTCCTGGGTTCAAGTGATTCTCCGGCCTCAGCCTCCAGAGTAGCTGGGATTACAGGCATGCGCCACCATGCCCAGTTAATTTTGTATTTTTAGTGGAGATGGAGTTTCTCCAGGTTGATCAGGCTGGTCTTGAATTCCCGACCTCAGGTGATCTGCCCGACTCGGCCTCCCAAAGTGCTGGGATTACCGATGTGAGCCACCGTGCCCGCTGGGGATGCGTTCTTTACCCTGAGTGCTTATAAGATTGCTGGAGACTTGAAACAGCCACTCAAAACCCATCCCAATGGACAGTGCTTCACACAGGGCCTCAGTTTCCTTTTTTGTAAGATAGCCGTGACACTACTGATTTCACTGCAAGGTTATGAGGCTTCAGTGAGATAACCCCATTGGAAACAAGCCTGGTCTTGACAACAAGGGTTGCTCCTGGCCTGCTGAGATAGCAAAACAAAGAAGGGGTTATGGGAGTAAGGCCTAGAGACAGAGGGTGAGGAGAGACGGAGCAAGGAGGATAAGGAATGGCAGTGGAGAAGCCCGAGGACAGCTGAGAGAAGAGCACAGTTAGGGTCCCCATGGCTGGGCTTTTCCTGAGCACTTAGAGTGTGCCAGGCTTCGGGCTGGGGGCTTCATGTGTGGAAAGCCATTCAATTTCCAACAAGGAGAGTGAAGGTGATTGTTTCTCCTTTACAGACGAACCCTCTGCTGCAGAAGCGGTGACACGGGCATGGATCACACCCTGAAGGCTGTTGTGATGGGGCTCTCAATGCAACCTGGGGACCTAGAGGCATCACCGTGGGGCAAAAGGGCAAACAATCAAATTCTCCACTCCAGGGAGAGGCCCCTTCTTTCCTAAGATCTCTCTTCTCCCAGAGCCTTCTCTGTGGCCAGTAACTCAGAAAGCAGGGAGGGACCGTGGGAGAAAGCAGGGAGGGACCAGACGTAAATGCAGACATTTTTGTTTTACACAATACCTGCTTGTATAGAAATGGAGAATACTGCGGGTGAGCTCGAAGAAAATGAAAACCTCCCGAATCCCAATCCTTAGACCTGATGCATGATTTCCAAACATTCATACCAAGTGGGATCATGATGCAGCTTACATTTGGCAAGTTCTTTTTGAACATAATTATCATAACAGACAGCTTTCCACGTCAGTTAATATTCTTGTGCAGCACTGAAATGCTAACAGGGTGTGCAGAATGCTGTCAATCCATTTCCCAACTCATTGGGCCGCCCTCCACCCGCTCTCGCTTTCCATGGGTCAGTCACCCACAATCGGCTGAGCTCTGGAAATGGATGAATGCAGGACAATAAGATATTCTGAAAGAGAGAGACCATATTCACATAACCTTTGTGACAGTAGATTGTTACTTTTATTATGGTAGATTGTTATAATTACAGTAGGTTGTTATAATTGTTCTTATATTACAGTAGGCTGTTATAATTGTTCTATGTCTCATTGTGCCTGATTTATAAATTAAACTTTATCATAGGTATGTGTCTACAGGAAAAACACAGCATATTTAGGGTTTGGTGCTACCCGGGGCTTCATGCACCCACTGAAGGTCTTGGAACATATGCCCTGCAGATAAGGGGATAAATTGGTATTTGTGATGATTTAGAAGGTGGCATTAGACACCCTCATAACTAAGGTTGACATTGTCATTTGCAGGAAAAAGACAACATCACACAGCCCCCAGGAACAGATAGGAAAGACAGAAGGGGTTTGCGGGAAGAGAAGGGAAAAGCGGCGAGCAGAGGAGAGAGGGGCCGGCAGTATTCGCATCCAGGGCATAGAAGATGCGGAAATTCCCTGCTTGTCAAAACAAGAGGGGAAATGGAGGGCTCTGATCTCAAGGGCATGGGCAAAGCCCAGCCAGCCAGGGGCTTGTCGGCTGCATGTTTCCTCTATTTTGGGGAGCCGGGGAGGCCCCCAGCTACTTCTGCTTCCCCCAATCCAGCGGCAACTCAACTGAGCTGTGACAACTTCTCTGCGTGTGCCCCATCCCAGCTGGCCTGCACAGCCTTGAGGACAAGGACCACACTGGAATCTGTTACCCAAGTATCTTATGTAGGGCTGGGCACAGAGTCACTAGCAGTAAATGGGCACGTGAGAGAATGAATGAGTGAGTAGTTCTTGTAGAATTTAGAGCGGGCTCAGTCAGGTGCACAAAGGAGAAGCAATGGGAAGCTGTTTTCTGACTCTGTCGTTAGAGAGTCAGAGGAACTGATGAGACATTGACTTGATTTCTTCTCTGCTGTTGGTTGATTCTGCACATCCAACAAATTACTGAACCTCTCTGACATCCAGTTTGTTTGTGGGTAAACTGGGGACGATGGGAGGTGTTGCTAGGGCTGATGAAGATAAGACGGGTGGCATTTTACTGTATGTGATTACACCCAGAAAGAAAAAGGGAGGGTGAAAGCTCTAAGCCAGGCACCTGGCATCAAGAGGATATTGATTGTTAGAAAATCCGTGCGTTTTAAGGGGTCCCAGGATTTGTTTTAATCAAATGTGGTGAGACCCAAAGGAGTGACTGTCATGAATGACAAGCTTTGATCTCACAGATCGCTAGAAATGAGAGGCACAGCACTCCAAGCAAGTCGCCAGGGCCAGTCAGGAGGCAGAGAGGGCGGAAACATGTGGGCAAGAGCCTTTGCTGAGAAGGCCGGGTAGCTACACTGGGTTGTCTAGGGGCGCAGAGGGGAACCGTGGTTCTGACTGACAGCTTGAGGTGGGTGGAGTGTAGGATCTGGACTGCTTGGTTTACATCTGAAAGTCATACTCACAGGAGTGGTTTCCAATCTGTAGAAACTGGCTAGCCCTGGGAAGGGGCAGCCTCTCTAAGGTCTGCAAGGCACCAGAATACAGAAAATACAAAGCATCAGAATACAGAAAATAAAAGACATGGTTTATACACTATGAGGCCCAATGAGGTAACAGGGCTTTAAAATCAGCTGGATTCAAATCCCAGTTTCATTGCTTTTGCGTTGGTGGCTTTTAATTTTTAATTTTAATTTTTTGAAATAGAGTCTCATTCTGTCACCCAGGATGGTGTGCTGTGGTGTGTTCAGAGCTCACTTCAGCCTCAACTTCCCAGGCTCAAGCAATCCTCCCATCTCATGTAGCTGGTGTGTGCCATCACGCTTGGCTAAGTTTTTAAAATTTTTGTGGAGATGGGGGTCTCACTCTGTTGCCCAGACTGATCTTGAACTCCTGGGCTCAAGCAATCCTCCCATCTCAGCCTCCCAAAGTACTGAGACTGCAGGCATGAACCACCATGCCCAGCCTCGTTGTGTGGCTTTTAGCAAGTCACTTAGCCATTCTTAGTACCTGTGCCATCAGCTGTAAAATGATGGCAGCAGCTACCTCTAGTGATGTGTCAAGGGGGGCCAGCCAGGCCTCTGCTTGGGACACGGCTCAATAAGGGCATGGAGATGTCACTGGCATAAATCAGAAATCCAGCTCTCGTTAGCACAGGCCTCCATGCACATCGCTGACAGAGTTGGCCAAATGGGAACTTGCACCCTGGTCCTGCCAGTGTGGACACTGCCTGGAGTGGAAATTGAACCACGCTATTCCCCGGATGACCCACCTCAGCCGTACGTTTCCATGCCAGGCTCTCCGCAAGCTTGATCCACTTGGCTCCAGCCATCAAGGGGGGATGTGAAGTCACAAATCACAGCCAGCTGAGATTCAGAAACAGAATGAGGTATTATGTAGGGCTGTTGACCCCAGATGAGGGCTTTATTTTATTATCTACATTTTAGACTCTTTAATATGCCTCCCAAGATGCTGTCTGGTTTGGAAAATCACCTATAATAAATGCACATAATAAATCTCTTATTTTGAGCATAGCGAGGCATGCAATTTTTATTAATAAAAATAAGCTCCTCTCTGCACCCCACCAAATAAGCATTCCAGAAGTATTTAAAGACAATCTGTTGAAAGGATGCCAGCTGGTCCACCTCCCAGGGCAAACAGCCAGTCTCAGCTGGGCCTCCCCTGCTCGCAGGTGAGATGAGAGGATGTTCTGGAAGGTGCTGGCGTCTGCTCCCTTCCCTGTCATCTCGTGGGTCCCAGTCATTCCCAACCCTGGGCAAACTCATTCACTCCCTCTCTCCCTGGAAAAATCACACAAGGATATATGATCTCTTTCTGCTCCCTTGTCCTGAACTAGACCCTTCCCATCCTGCCATCCCTGGGGTTCCTGGCCTCGTGTCTCCCTCCCTCCTTCATCAGACACTCTGCAAATCTTGTCCCTAGGACAAGGAGAGGAAAACACCCTGTGTGTCCATCACGGGAAGATAGAGGGGAGATGCAATTCCTGATGGATACGTGACAGATTCCACCACTTTACAGCATCATGGTGGATCTTAAGACCTCACACAAGGCTGAAAAGGAAGAAAGAAAGAAGGAAGAAAGTAGAGGAAGAAAGGACAGAAGGAAAGAAATACGAAATGGAGAAATTGAGATATATCCTCAAAACATCTTACAAAAAAATAAAAATATATCCATACAAATAGCAGTACAGATTTTATAATAAAAAAGCACACGTCAAAACTGTAGAATGGTTGACTATGGGAGGAACAGAGCTGGGGTATAGGGCTAAGAGGGAAAAGCTCAGTGAGAATAAAGGCTTTCTCCAGCTAGACAGGGTGAGGTCAGGACATAAGGAGATGGTCACCACAATCCTCTGCATCTGAGGCCCCATAAAGAAAGAAAATCCAAGCACACACACACACACACACACACACAGAGAGAGAGAGAGAGAGAGAGAGAGAGAGAGAGAGAGAGAGAGAGAGAGAGAGAGAGAGAGAGAGGCAAATCCTACTCTAAAAATGACAAGTTTTTTTATTATTCCAATGAGTCATGCTTGCTCCATGTCTGGCTTTGTACATGCAATTCCCTCTGCGTGAAATACTGTTCCTCACCCTTTAAGCCACTCAACTTTGCCCATCCTTCAGCTCTCTGCTCCATTTCCTGTCCTTCCCCCACCTGCCCCACCTGGACCGGGTAGCTGTACCTGTTGGATTAGTCAGCTCAGGCTGCTCTAACAGAACACCACAGACCCAGCCGCTCAAAGAACAGAAGTTCCTTTCTCACAGTTTGGGAGGCTGGAAGTCTAGGATAAAGGTGCAACAGGGTTGGATCCTGGTGAGGCCTCTCTACCGGGCTTGTAGACGGCTGCCTTCTTGCCCTGTCCTCACACAGCCTTTCCTGTGTGGGCGCTCACGGGGAGAGGGCTCTGGTGACTCTTCCTTGCCTTATGAGAACACCAGCTGTACCAGATTAGGGCCCCACTCTGATGGTCTCATTTCATCTTAATCACCTCCCTAAAGGCCCTACCTCCAAAGACAATCCCACTCTGAAGTATGGCTTTAGGGCTTCCACATGTGAATGTGTGGAGGAGGTCACAATTTAGTCCCCAACACAGCTCCCGTCCTTGTTTGTTTTCCTTCTAGAGTTTCTCACGCACCTGCGCGTATCTGAGACGATCTCTGAGCACACCGATGACAGGACTCACTCACCTTCTTCGATGGTCATCCTCGCCTGCTCAAACACCTCTGACCCCTCCTCACTGCCAAACTACAGGCCTGCATGATGTTTCAGTTGGCAAATCCAAAGGCCTCTCTTAGCCCACGGCCCTGGGACTTCCCCATGAGAACCTGCCTTGCCTGGCCCTTGGGCTCTGCCCTGTTTTCCGCTCCCTTTCCCTCCCTTCCCCTCTCCTCCCTTCCCCTCCCCTCCTCTCCCCTCCCCTCTCCTTCCCTCCCCTCCCCTCCCCTTCCCTTGCCTCCCTTCCCCTCCCCTACTCTCCGTCCCCTCCCCTGTCTCTCCCTTTCCCCCCCGAGCAATGGCTTCTTGCTGCTTCCACATACCAGCCTGGCTCCCCAGGGCTCACTCCCATTCCTCTCCGCGTGTTTCCTGGGGCGTGTCTCCACACCATGACTCCCCTCTTCCCTGGCTCACTGGCCATATGGAAGCCACAGGCCCCTCCATCTCGGTACACCCTGAATGAATTCATCCCTTTCCCCTACAAGCCTATTATCTGGCCCCACCACTGGTGACACTGGAGACCTGGGCATCCTCTGTGACTCCTCCATCAATCCCTCCATTGGACCAAATGCTGTCCTCCCGTCCCGCTGCTTGTCTCAGCTCCCTGTAGGATGGGGCTTGCTTTGCTGTGCAGGAGAGGAGAGAATAGAAGATGCGGGAAGCAGAGCTGGACTAAGAGTCCTGTTGGAGGCAGATTTTGAGACAAGCAAGTGAAGACAGCTGGATAGACGGAGAGGAGGGTGTTCCACTGGTCTGCTCATGGCTCCATCCCAGCCAGGAAACAGAGACTCTCAAACTGTGTAACTGAGATGACTTTACTACAAAGACTACTCATCAACTTGTGAACAAGGTTTGGGTTACCAGCAAGGGACAGTGCAGAACCCAGGGGCTGAGGGCAGGGGTGGCATCACTGCTCCTAGGCCCGATGGGGAGTGAGCAGATGGTCAGTGGAACAGAGACAGAAGTACAAGGTGGGAACAACGGGCCAGAGCAGTGAGGCTCCAGCAGACAGAAGGAGCCAGCCCTAAGCAACCTTGTGTGTTCATGTATGTACGCATTATTGTTTAGGCATGACAAGGCTGGCACATTGGGAGAGGCCTGGTACTGAAAAGATCACTTGTCCCTCAGAGTTCCCAATAGGAGAGGACCTACCATGCTATGAGAGCCTCGGGAAAACACCTGGGTGGATCAGGAGACCGGGAGGGGGAAAGGGTGGGCAAGAGCCTCCACTGAGGTTTTGGTGAGAAGGAACAAAAGAGGCAGGGCAGGCAGGCTTCGGTTTGCTGGCTTGAATACGTGTGTCTGCTCTGGGGCACAGAGCTGCTGTCCTGAGTCGTCTGGTTCCTGGCCCTGGGGTGATCAGGGCAGGTGGAGTGTGACAGCCCTGTGGGGAGGTGGTAGAGGATGTGGGCCCTGGATCAGCTGGTTGACACTTGAAAAGCAATTTTGAGTGAATTATTGTCCATTTCTAAATTGACCAGCCCTGGGAGGGGCAGTCCCTCCAGGATTGGCAAGGCCTCAGAGATCGAAGAATCTGAATACAGAAATTCAAAGACATGGTGTATACACCACACAGTGAGGGAGCTACAGGAACCAATACCACTGCCACCCCCACTCTCCTCCCACCCTCAGACCTCTGCTGATGTCACCCCTTGGCCAAAGTCAACAGGAATATGGAGGATGAGGGAGAAGGCTGGGACAGTGAGGGAGGGGACCGGACTCAGCAACCAGTAAACCAAGCTCCTGTGCAGGTAAGGGTTCTTTACTCCTGAAATCTTCCCAATAACTGCTAGTTGAATGGAGGTGCAATCAGCCTGGGGAGAGACCAGAAAGCTCGCTGAAGGACGAGCATCCTGGGCTGGGTTTTGAGGGATGAATAGGCATTTTCCAGGGAATGCTAGACACATAAACGGAAGAGCACAAGCAAAGGGATGGAGATTAACACAATATGTTTGGCAAGCTGCAAGCTTCGCAACAGTTCTGGATTGTGAAATTTCTGGGGAGGAGGCTGGCACAGGGCAGATTCCCTGGGAGTGTCTCTGCCCTCGGTCCCTTCGTTTTCCTCTCTGGGCCTCTTTGCAAAAAAGTGTGATCATGGGTGCAAAGTGCTTCCAAGGAGGCTAGTACAGAGCAAAATGCTTGGTAAGTGGTGGTGATTATCATAATGGTTATTAGTATGTCTAATAACATCACCTCGCTGTCCTCTCCAGGCCTCTGGGGTGCCTCAAATAGGACAACAGATTAGAAGTTCTTTGAAAAACAAATGGCCAACACAACCCGAGGCAGAAGCAAGGCCAGGGGGCTCAGGGAACCATCTCCTGTGGACAACAGTCTGGTGTCAGGCCAGGGGAGTGGGGTCAGGCCCCATGGCTCTGGCGCTCTGAGACAGATGATGGCTGGCCTCTTTGGGGTTCACTAGCCTCATTGATCAAATGATTCAGGGGATGAGGGAGAATGCCAGGGTCCATTTCCCATCTGTGATCAGCCTTGACTCCAAGCCCATACTCCACACCCAGTTTTCTGGACGAGGGAGAAACAGCCCTCAGGGGCCAAAAAATATAATACCCTTGGATGCCCCTGGCTGTGTGAGACCGTCTGAGAGGCCTTTATCACTGCACACAACGGCTGCCAAAGTCAGACCTAACCCCTTCCCAGGAAATTCTTGGCTCTGCTTGTGAGCAGCCCGTCTGGTGGAATTAATTTCAGCCTATATGATGCTAACGCCATGCAAACAGAGACATATAAAACAGTCCTCCCAAGGCTTTGCATGGCAATAAAGACTGAACCGTGCTTAATTTATGCACACTGCAAGGCTACCCCCCTGCAGGAAAGCATAAAGCCATCCCCATGGGAGCCGATCAGTACAGGGTTCTTCGTGCCCCTGGGCCTCACAGAGGGAGCTCGTTCCTCTTCCCGGGCTCCTTCCATCTTTCCGAGTGGATTGTAGATTTGCAGACTTGGGCTCTGGCCTTTATATCAGTGAGACAGCCACGGTGTAGGGGATCTGCAGGGGCCGTAGAATGGGAGGTGGAACTACGTCCTTGGTTCCATGCAAACCACTGGGGAAGGGACACTAGGAAGGTGATCTGCATCCTGAAATCACGGGGGCTGTCATCTGCTAATGCTGGAA